AGAAGCTTTTTACTTTAATTAAATCCCACTTATTTATTTTTGGTTTTGTTGTTTGCTTTTGGGATCTTAGACATAAATTCTTTGCCTAGGCCAATGTCCAGAAGGGTTTTTCCTAGATTTTTCTTCCAGAATGTTTATGGTTTCAGGTCTTAAAGTTTTTAATCCATCTGAATTAATTTTTGTATATGGTGAGAGACAGAGATCCAGTTTCATTTTCTGCATGTGACTGTCCAATATTCCCATAGAATAGGAAAAACTAGTAATTTATTTCTATGAATATGATTTTAATAACATTCCCTAAGTATTTAGTAATTCAAGTTTCCTTCAAACCCAAATTAACAAACATATATGTTAATCTAAATAACAAATATTTATGTATTTACTCATGTATGTATATATATGTATATTAGGTTAATCTTTCTGTGATTTAGTTTTAACTTTGAACTTTTAAGTGATGGAAGCAGTGAAGGATTCAGTACCACAGTACATTTTGATAGTGTTTAAGGCTTTTTCAGATCAATCAACTTAAGTTTCTTACTAATATAAATCAAGCTTGTTCCGATTCCACAAGGACTCCACCACAATGTTTAGGATGGAGAAAAATCACTGGTTTTCCACGTGCTCCTGTTTTGACTTTTTCACTTAGTCTGCAGATCTTCTTTTCTTTCAAATCCATCAGAGCTGCATTTATATTACCCACCTCAATGCAGACGTGATGCATTCCCCCAGCCTTGTTTTTCTGCAGAAAACCTGCAATTGGACTGTCATTGTTCAATGGATAAAGCAATTCCATCTTGGTATTTACCAGTTGACAAAAACAACAGATACTCCATGTTCACCAAGAGGGAATGGCTCACTTCTTTGGGCTCCCAGAACATTCTTATAAAATGCTGCACCCTTTGCCAAATCTGGTACTGCTATGGCTACATGATTGAGTTGACCCAGGTATCACGCAAGACCTGCCACTTGATGCAAGAGCGGCGACATTGAAAATCCTTGGTGTTGGAACTCAAAAAAAGCTCTATGGTGTTTGCAGTTGCTGCCATAACCACCGCCATCAGTACATGCCCCATCTTGGAAAGAGCCCAAATGCCATCTCTTGATATAAAGTTCATTCTTCCTCTCATGACCTAAAATGAGTAGAACCATTAAAAAGTGGACTAAGTTTATAAAAAATAAGAGATACTGATTTATTACTTGAAAACAAAAACCACGGGAGAATAAATATTGAGGATCACATGTACCAGCTATTAAAATACTTCTAGATTCTAAAATTGTGTAATATTGTTAAATGATGGGCTTGCCTCTCTAAGAATGTTGTGATTTCATTCCCCAGGTGTAAATTCTGTGAAAGATCTCAGTATGCCCTGTCATTGCATATTATAAATCTTTTATTATAGGAAAATGTCATGAACCAAGTCACCCCAACTGGTGATTTCAGGAGAATCTTTTTAAAACTTCAGACTTGGATAAAACTATCAAGCAGTAGTAATAAGTGTTCTGCAGTAAAATGATGAAGTGGTGTTTTGGGGGAGTAGGGAGAACACTGTTCCAGTTGAGGAAAGGAAACTGCAGAATTAGTCTGGAAGATGGGGGGAGTTCTTTCTAAGTGGTGAGACACTAATAATGATAATAGACTTTTTATTGTTACTGATCTATGCTGAGTAACCTATGTTTAAAAGATAGAAACTTGCAGCCTCGCTAAGCCTATGGTGACCATCCTTCCACACTGCTGTGCAAGTCTGATGGCTCTATGTAGTAGTGATCTTGAATCTCTCCTAGGGTGGTGCTTTGGCCCTAAACATTTAGGCTGTAGTTTGCGCTATTACTAAAGCATAACACTGGAGGTACACCTTCTATGGGTTTTTCTGCCACTATGTCTTTTCATGACTCAAAATTCAATGAAAAACAAAAGAGACCTTTACCTAGGTATGGGGTTTCTTAATATCTAAGTCTGCTGATTTCTCCTGCCTCATTGCTATATATGGGGTCCGACAATTAAGTTCACAAACTCATCCTAAAAAGTGCTACATGCCTCATTGCCAACTATCACTATAGTCACCTTCCCAGTACTCCCCTTGGAAATCTATGCAACAAAGCCAGCACCTAGTCCACCCATCAAAGCAATTTGGGAGCTCCTTTTCTGGAATGGCCATCAGAGCTGTCATTGTATTACCTTTGATGTTCTGAATGTCGTCAAAATGTCTTCCTTTCAATATTTCCTTATCTTTGGGTAAAGAAAAAAACCATTGGGGGCCAGATCAGGTGAGTAGGGAGAGAGGATGTTCCAATACAGTTATTTATTTACTGGCTAAAAACTCCCTCACTGACAGGGCTGTGTGACCTGGTGTATTGTTGTGATGCAAGAGCTCCTTAGGGATCATTTTTGCATATACCTTTCTCATGCCAAGACTTTCAGTTAAGGTTTTTCTGTTTCTCTACCAATGTTTATTTGGTCTGCTATGCTTCTCACGGCCAACTGACAATTTGTGCACAATTTGATGAATTTTTGCAACGTTTTCATCAGTTCTGCAGGTTACTAGTCTTCCTGACCTCTCTTCAATAGTGATGTTTTCTCTACCCTTAGAAAAACATTTAATCCATTTGTACACTGCCATTTTCTTTATGGACTTATCCCCATAAACTTGGACTAACATGTCCCTGATTTCATTTCTACTCTTGCCAAGTTTAGCAAGAAATTTAATGTTTGTACATTGCTCTAATTCAAGCTCCAGCATTCTCACAACAGCACATAAAAACATGCAACAATATTGAATGCCACTCAGCAAGATACCGCCACACATAGACATGAATACAGTTGTGAGACACTGATATACCAAGGTTATGAAATCTTACCGAGTTGTTTGTACAATGCTGACATCATCATTAGCAAGTTTATGAACTTCATTGTTAGAACTTGTATTTGAAATGATTATTTACCTATTTTCAAAAGAGAACTCAGGCAATCTGAATAGAGTAGAGATTATATTTACTAAACCCATCAGTTTTAATACGGTTAGTAACTGTTTGTCTTCTGCTTTAAATGTATTTTTAATATACAGGAGAGAGCAGAGGACTTTCAGAAGAGATATGATCTCTGCTTCTCACAATATACTTTAAAAAACTAAGCATTTTAAGATCACAACTACTACAAAAATACATAGTGTATTGTTTTGCTCATGATAATCTTACTGTAAGTGCTTTTTAAATTCTGAGTAATAGCATTTTTTTTCCTCCATTGGTTTGCCTGGAGTCCATAATACTAGCAATTGTCCTGAAGGGGAACCCATTGTTTTCCAAGTCACTTATCTCTGCTCTGTATGATCTGCCACAAAAGCATTCAGTGGATTTTGACACAAGCAAATAGAAATGACAAATACATTGACTTGGACCTTAACATCATGTGCTTTCTATATAAAACATCAAAAGTTCTTTTGATCTTTGCAGTTGCCATTTAAACTATAATATGCTATCACCATAATGTGTTTAATAGTGAAATAATTCTAGGTCTACTTACTTCTCCCAAGGTTACCTTCAAAAGTAAAAGCTGTGAAACTTCAAGGCATCATTTTCATTTTCTTATAGCGGATAAACTGAATGTCTTTCAGGTTCTCAACCTTTTAGACCATGGGTTCTGCCTTATTTTATACATTAAACTTTGTTTTATTTAAAAATATACATTTCTTTTTACTGGTGACACCTTGGAAATGAGATTTCAACTTCATAAGCCTTCTACCATAATGATTAAAAGCCAGACTTATCAAATGTTCCACCTGCCACTAGATAAATTCCAGAAATTTCCAGAAATAAGTTTCCTTTCTCTTAACTCTTGGAGCATGTTGTACATAGTATTTATCTATTCCAAGTTACCTTGCATTATCATTCAAATTATATTTTAAATCTGCTAAGGACAAGGAGGTTGTTTTAAACATCTCTATCACCCACTGTAGTGCCTTAGATGTCCATTAATATATTTAAAGAATTACATAATAAAATAATTGTGAAAATTGCCTGTAGTTTAAGTATGTGAGTAATGTAGAAGGTTCTGCCTGAGTCAGTGGTTGTTTCAAATACCTAGGAATGGTGACTCATCACTTGAGAATTGGTGACCACCCTACATGCAAGCGTTGCTGCACATTATAGTTCAGAGGCTGTGTCTCTTCTTTCTTTGACAGACTTCAGCACTGGGCTAAGAGTGCAATTGTGAAGGCAAAGTCATAGAAACAAAACTGGGCACAAGCCTTCGTGTCCCTTTTGTAAAGTAGATCGGTACCTATGTTGTGGTGGCACTACAACCCTACAGTAACTGTCTATGGTTCATTGTTTTTATTTTACACATTTTATATCACAATATATTGGCAAATGATTATTAACTACTATATATTTTTATTTTGTGAATGGGGTTTGTTACCCTCATTTAATGGATGAGAAAATGGAAGTTTATAGAGTAAGGAAAATCCATACCACTATATAGCTAGTTAAGTGCCAGAGTCCACAGATGAGCCCATGTGTCCTTGGTTTTAAATGTATTGGTTGGACCTGCCACTGTCCACTTTACTAACATTGTAAATATCTAGAATCATGACTGAAATATCTAGAATCATGATTAAAATATGATCCTATTGTTCTTGAGAGATTCACTGGGGGAAGGTATACCTCTAAGATATATCTGGTTCATATTCTATAAGTTCTGGATCATAATTGTGTTACTTCTTTTTAACAACATATCCACCTATGGTTTGAAAACTTGAAGTGTATGTAATTCTAGTATAAAGACTGTAACTTCTTTTATTACTACCGTGGGTATAGTCAGTGCTGACTTTAAGGCATTAGCCATTCTGTAGAAAGAAAAATAAAATGGTACCATCAGTTTAAGGGCAAGGTCATAGGGAGGAATTTATTATAATACATGTAAAGTCCAATTTTAGGTAATTGAAATCAAGCTATATATTATTCTCAAAGTCTTCCGTGGTTTTTATATGTATCATGACTTGTTATAGAATGAATACCTAAATGAAGATGTTGATGCTAGAGTCATTGAATACGAAGATAACCGGCCCCTCTTAGATATGTTTCTGCAGAAGCCAATGGGTTTACTATCCCTACTCGATGAAGAAAGTAGGTTTCCCAAGGCCACTGACCAGACTCTTGTAGGTGAGTTTTAAATCCAGTGTCTGCATGGTTTATGAATATAGTCATGCAATTCTGAATGATTTTTTAGATTGCTTTAAATTAGTTGGGATAAAATAGCTATCATAAAGCCTGTATATTTGAATTTAAAGGAGAGGTTTTGGATCTAATACTTGGGCCACAGAATGTTAATGACAGGGTGAAATATTTAGTGATAAAATTAACAAGTTTGGATATTAGACTTGCTTATGTTATGATAAAGTCTCAAGCATAGAATCATAGGTTAGAAATGGCCTTAGAAATTATCCAGCTCAAAATTAGAAATTGATGAGCAGGGCAGAAGGACAACTCTAGGATTTTTAAAACATATAGCCAACAGGAGGGAAATAAATTAGCCTGTGATGTTCTGCTCTATCATTTATTTAATAGAGGTGAGTAGCTACAAATACCTTAATAACCTCTAAGTTACAGTACATGAATAAATGTTCATGATAATAATCCTGAGTCATCAAAGAAAGATTAAATGTATTCACTTTTTCTGTTTGAGAAGGCAGAGATGTATATTATATATTTTAAAAGATTATAATCCAAAATGGTTAAAATGAAAATGTCTTACTCTTTAAATTAAAAAATAAAAACTCTTCAGATTTTTTTCAGATATCTGAAAAAAAATGTTTTTAAATGTGCAACATCATATTCCCTGATGATAGGAGATATTCATTCAGTATAATAAGTACTAGCAGAAAATCTAGATTTACGTTTTTCTCTTACTTACTTTTGGTAGCCATTAAACCTATTTCTTGCCATTAAGCCTGTTAATGTTGCTTCTTTCTGACCCACTGATTGGCTTAATCTCTCTCCTCTAATTGGACAACACTAGATGGAAAAGAAAATATGCTGGTGGGGGAAATCACTTCATAAAAGTCACTTGATTTTTATATTAGATGTTCCTTTTAAGACAAGTTCTCTGAAGGAGGTAAGATTGTTTATAGAAATTTAACAGTTTTTATGATCCTATTGTGCTTTTTATGTAATAATACTAATCTATAGTTTCTCAAATAGAAAGGAGAGCTAAAACACCAAATGTTTAGGCTCATGGCTTGGTATCAAACTGTGTTTCACAAACTTGATTGACTGGTCAGTCTCAAGTACTGCCCTTCCTCCGTACCAGCTGTTGTCAAAATGTGGTTACCAGATCATGAACATCAGCATCACCTGAGAACTTGTTAGACATGTGAATTCCTGGATACCACCACATACCTACTGAGTCAGAAACTGGGAATGGGGCCCAACTGCCTGTGTTTTAACAGGCTCTCAAGGTGACTTTGATGCATGTCAGGGCTTGGGGACTGGTATCTAAATCACGATGGATGAATTAAAAACTCATGATCTTGAGTTTTGCTTTGCCACTTATAATTATATTTAAAATCTGCATATATTAGCTATATGAATATTCTGTCTTTGTTCACTGTACATCACAGTGGCCTTTTTGTGGTGAAATAACTGATTCTCACAATATTTTTTGAGGATCTCCTACATCCTTCATATTGGAGATCAATTTTTTTCTACAGAAAAATTTGAAGGTAACCTGAAGTCACAGTACTTCTGGAGACCCAAAAGAATGGAACTTAGTTTTGGAATTCACCATTATGCAGGAAAGGTAAGAACTCTTAACAATTATGACTGAGTTCCTCTTTAGTCTTTTATTGAATAATAAGGATAGACATGAAAATTGTGGTCCAAAATATTTAGAGATAGCTATATTGATGTAGTCATCTGTTTCTGCCCCCATCTGGCCCAAATTCTGCTCTCCAATGTCCTATATTCTGTTCTGTCCTTTGCCAGCTCTCATTATAGAGGCCACTCCCACTCCAGGACACATACTTCTAGCATCTATCCTGAAGACATTAAAAGAAATTTTCTTCTCTTAGTTTAACAATCATAAGGTTATAGTTTTTCTAGAGGAATGTTTATTAAGTAACTAGGGAAAAAAGAAAGAAAACAAAGAGACAATACTTAAGATCTGGCTTTGGATGAGATTAGCTGACAATGGTTACCTATATTTTTCCTTTTATCAATAACCGGGGACTTTTGATATAAACTTCCTTTTTCAGATGTTAGATGCTTCTCTTTCTACTACACACTTTGTTCCTCCTCCCTCCTTACAAGAGAAGGTGCCAGACGGGAGGTGTGGTCAGAAAACTGAGCTAATCCAGATAGGTGGAATTGGCTACTGAACTAATATGCAGTTGGAGGAAGAAATGTTTCTGTATTAAGAGAAACACATTCCCACATCAAAGCAAACTTCAGATATTCAGATATGTTGTCCTAGACCCAGAGAACGCTTTCTTTTTCTTTTTCTTGTTTTGAGTTAGACTCTTACTCCTTTGCCCAGGCTGGAGTACAGTGGCACGCATGCTCACGGCCACTCCAGCGTCAACCTTCTGGGCTCCAGCTATCCTTCCGCCTCAGCCTTCCGAGTAGCGGAAACTACGCACCACCATGCCATCCCCGGCTATTTTTTATTTTATTGTAGAGACAAGGTATCGCCAAGTTGCCGTAGCTGGTCTTGAATTTGCAGGCTCAGGCAATCCACTCGCCTCGGCCTCCCAAAGTGCTGGGAATACAGGCTGAGCCACTGAGCCCAGCCCAAGAATGCTTTATTTCCTTCCTTCTGGGGAGAATAATGTATCACAATGATGTCCTCCAAGATATTAAAATCAAGAAAGAATGTATAAAATGAGAAATACATTTAAAAAATAAAATGATGCATAACTGCAAGCATTCTAGTCTACTTGGCAACCTCCATGTGTCTGTCAACACTCCACAACCTCTTCTTATTTAAAAAGTATACCTTAAATCATTATAGTTATAGCCTTTCTCATGATTTTTAGCATGACTTTCTAAATAAAGCCTCCTTTAAACAACCATTAGGAATTGCCCATGATCATTTTATTTTTTTACTGTTTTATTTTATTTTTTTTAAGATGTGAGGTACAATTCAGGATTGGGTATACAAATGGTCATTGTACAGGTAAAATTTGGGCCTCTCTTTGGTCCCCACTTCATCTGGTTTGAAAGCAAGTATTCTTACTGATGTTATGCCCCATCCCTCCACCCCCGCCCCCACTCCTCACCTGGCAGTTTTTAAACAACTCTATTAGTCTGCTTGGGCTGCCATAACAAAAATGCCACATGTGTCTTAAGCAACAAAATTTTTTTCTTTTTTATGGTTTTGGAGGCTGAAAAAATCCAAGGTCAGAGAGTTCTTAGCAGGGTTTATGTCTGGTGAGGCCTCTCTTTTGGCTTACAGACGGTTGCCATCTCAATATGTTCTTACACAGCCTTTTCTTTGTGAGCATGGGGAGGGGAAAGAGCTATCTCTGGCATCTTCCTTTTCTTATAAGGACAAAAGTCCTATTGGATTAGGTTATTTAACTTCATTTAACCTTAATTACTTCCTTGAAGGCCCTACTTCCAAATACAGTCAACAGTGGAGGTTTTGGTCTTCAACATCTGAATTTTGAAAGGACAAAATGTGAATCATAACAGCTATTATGTTAAATCATTATGCAGAAATCTTTGGTTTATATTGATCTTTAAAAATTCTTAAACTTATTTAGAAGTGCCAGAATCAGAAACACTCACAGTTTAGGTATTTAGATCATACTACTACTGAAATAAAAATCTATCATGGCCAATTCAATTTAGGTGAATCGATTATCATAGAAATAGGAATGTCTTGGTGGCCCAGTGTGTTTCCATTATGTCTCTCCCATCACTCCAAATAGAAAAAAAATTACCAAATTTTCCAACATAAAAAGTGGGAGGAATCAAACCTCTTTGGTCATTGCAACCCAAATAAAATCAGTGAGACATAAGCGTTTCTCTAAGATACTAGGGATACCCAAAAATGACCAGAAGTAGTTTTTGGAGGGTGGACCTCTTGTAGTATAGGCTTCCCCTGCAAGGTCAGTGTTCTAAGAACCTATCAGCATCAGTGTAACAGCTAGTGTTGTTGTGAGTGGCTGCATTTGACTTCAGTTAATTTTGGGGGGGATATTCTTTTAACATGTTTGCCCATTTGTAATGGATGATTTATGAGCTCACCTGCCCACACCACACTGAGGGCTCCCCAATTTTTGACCAAGAATGGCATGACTTTTGTGTCCCACCTTCTCTATTCACATGTTCTTGCCCCAAAGCGACTTTTTTTTTTGTTTCCCCGAATGAAAAAATGTCCTTAAAGGGAAACGTTTTGCCGATGTGGAAGAGATGAAATAAAAAACATCAGAAGCACTAAAAGGCATCAAAGCTGACGAGTTCAAAAACTCTTTAGAGCCATGGAAAAAGCAACTTGGTAGGTATATTGTATCAAACAAAGAGGACTTTGAAAGTGACTGAAGTTTAAACATATAAGAATAAATACATGATTTTTTATAAGAAAATTCTGATTTGGGGAGGGTCCCCCCCATACAGTGTAAACTTAGAGAGGCTTCCTTCTCCAAACAAATTTTAAGGGACTACCTTTTTAAATCTCTGAATCCCTATTGCTCAGCACAGAATAAGCTCTCAATAAATATCTATTGATGATGATGAAGACAACAAGAATGATGACACTGAATATGATACTGATGATAGTGTACTTTGTCAACAGGTTCTTTATAGTGCAAGTGGGTTCTTAGCTAAAAATAGAGACACTCTTCCAACTGATATTGTGCTACTTTTGAGGTCATCTGAAAACAGTGTAATTCGGCAACTAGTCAACCACCCTCTAACAAAAACAGGTAAGACAATTTTCTTTAACTGAGAAGTTTTCTCAAGCCCAATCAAGTTGTTTTGGTCTCTGTGATTTGATTTGATTTTTTATTTGTGCTGCTCATTCTTTTTTTTTTAATATTTTTTTTATTTTAAAGTTGTGGGGTATACTTTAGGGTTAGGTATACAAATATTCATTGTGCAGGTACCCTTGTTGATGAGGTTTGCCCCCCTTCCCCAGATAGATATTGATTACCATTAATCCCACCTCCCTTCCCCTCCCCCCCATAGTTTCCCGCCACTGTCAATCCTTTTCTTATAGTATTACAGTAGTTGTTCAAGGTCCACTTATGAGTGAGAACATGTGATACTCAGATCTTTGTTTCTGTGAGAGGTCACTCAGTATTATAAACTCTAATTCCATCCAGGATGCTGTGAAATTCATGATTTTTGTTCTTTTTTATGGCTGCGTAATATTCCATTGTGTATATGTACTACATTTTTAAAATCCAGTCCTCTTTTGATGGACAGCATGGTTGGTGCCATGATCTTGCTATTGTGAACAATGCTGCAATAAACATACGTGTGCAGGTATCTTTTTTATAAAGTGATTTGAATTCTTCAGGGTATATTCCCAGTAGAGAGATTGCAGGGTCATATGGAAGGTAGATTTTTAGAGCTTTTAGAAATCACCACATTGATTTCCACAGAGGCTGTACTAGTTTACACTCCCACCAACAGTGTAGAAGTGTTCCCTTTTCGCCACATCCTCTTCAGCATCTGTTATTTTTTGAATTATTGATAATGGCCATTCTGACTGGAATTAGGTGGTATCTCAGTGTAGTTTTAATTTGTATCTCCTTGATGACTAGTGAGGTTGAACATTTCTTCATGTATCTGTTGGTTGCTCATATGTCTTCTTTTGAGAAATATCTGTTCATATCTTTTGCCCACTTTGTAATGGGGTTGTTTGTTTTTTTTCTTTTCAGCACGTTTGAGTTCCTTATAGGTCCTTGATGTTAGGCCTTGGTCAGATATGGAGTTGGCAAATACTTTTTGCCAGTCTGTGGGCTGTCTTCCTGCTCTCTTGATGGTTTCTTTGACTTTGCAGAAGCTTGTCAGTTTAATGAGGTCCCACTTGTCTATCTTATCTCTTATGGCCTGTGCATTTCGGGTTTTGCTCAGGAATTGGATGCCAGTTCCAACTTCCATAATGGTGTGTCCTGCATTTTCTAAAGTTCTTATGGTTTGAGATTTTACATTTAGGTCTCTGATCCATTTAGAGTTAATTTTTGTTTGAATTTTCTGCATGTGGTCAGCCAATTTTCCCAGCACCATTTACTGAATAGGTTTTCCTTTCTCCAGTGGTGGGTAGTGGAGGCTTTGTTGAAGATGAGTTGGTTGAGGTTTTGCTTCTGGAAATCTCAATTCTATTCCATTAGTCTGTATCTCTATTCTTGTACCAATACCAGGCTGGTTTGATTATTGTAGCTTTATAGTAAAGTTTAAAGTCTGGTAATGTGATAACTCTTGCTTTGCTTTTTTTGCCAAGGATTGTTCTGGCTATTCTTGGTCGTTTGTGTTTCCATATGAATTCCTGTATTGTTTTTTCTAGATCTGAGAAGAATGTTGCTGGTAATTTGATGGGTATTGCATTAAATCTGTAGATTGCCTTAGGTAAGATGGACATCTTTATGATGTTGATTCTTCCAATTCATGAGCATGGGATATTTTTCCACTTGTTTGTGTCATCTTTGATTTCTTTTAGCAGTGTTTTGTAGTTTTCATTGTAAATGTCTTTCACATCTCTAGTTAGGAAGATGCCAAGTTATTTATTTTTTTGTGTGGCTACTGTAAATGGGATTGTGCTTTTTATTTGGGTTTCTGTTTGTTTATTATTGCTGTAAAGAAATACTATTGTCTTTTACACATTTATTTTATACCCTGAGACTTTGCCAAAGTCCTTTATCAGTGCAAGGAGGTTTTTGACAGATTCTCTTGGGTTTTCAAGGTACACAATCATGTTGTCTGCAAAGAGAGATAATTTGACTTCTTTTCCTATTTGAATACCCCTGATCGCCTTCTCTTTTCTGATTGCTCTAGCCAGGATTTCCAATACTATATTGAACAGGAGGGGTAAGAATGGGCATCCTTGTCTTGTTCCAGTTTTCAGGAGAAATGTTTCAATTTTTGTCTGTTTAGAAGTATGCTGACTGTGGGTTTCTCATAGATGGCTTTTACTATTTTGAGGTATGTTCCATGTTACCTAGGTGTTTGAGGATTTTTATCAAGAAAGGGTGCTAGATTTTATCAAAAGCTTTTTCTGCATCTAATGATATAATCATATGGTTTTTGTTTTGACGTCTGTTGATGTATTTAATTACATTTATGGTCTTACGAATGTTGAACAAGTCTTGCGTCCCAGAGATGAAGCCTACTTGGTCATGATGGATGATTTTTGAGATATGTTATTGAATCCGGTTTGCTAGGGTCTTGTTGAGAATTTTAGCATCTATGTTTATCAAAGATATTGGCCTGTGGTTCTCTTTCTTTGTTGGGCCTTTACCTGGCTTGGGTATCAATATGACATTAACTTCATAAAATGATTTGGGGAGAGTTCCATCTTTCTCAGTCACCTGGAATACTTTCAGTAGGATTGATATCAGTTACTCCTTAAATGTCTTTATAGAATTCTGCTGGAAAGTCATCTAGTCCAGGGCTTTTTTTTTTTGTAGGTAATTTTCTTATTGTATAGTCAATTTCCTTGATTGTTATTGGTGTATTTAGGGTCTCGATTTCTTCTTGTTTCAACCTAGGCAGGTTGTGTGATGTCATAAAGTCCTCCATTTCCTTAAGGTTTTCACGTTTGTTTCCATACAAGTGTACATAGTAGTCTCTTATGGTCTTTTGAATTTCTTTAGGGTCAGATGTGACTTCATCTTTTGTGTTTCTGATTGTGTTTATTAGGGATTTTTCTCTCTTTTTCTTGGTCAGTCTAGCTAGGGGATCATCGATCTTGTTTATCCTTTCAAAGAACCAGCTTTTTGTTTCGTTGATTTTTTGTATTATCTTTTGGTCTTCTATGTCCCAGATTTGGGCTTTTATTTTGGTGATCTCGATTCTTCTGCTGAAGTTAAGGTTTTGGTGGTCTTGCTTTTCCGCCTTCCTTAGGTGAATTGTTACACTGTTAATTTGTGATCCTTCCATTTTCTTCATGTGTGTTTGTAGAGATATGAATTCTCTTCTTACTACAGCTTTCATGGCATCCCAGAGACTTTGGTAAGATGTTTCTTCATTTTCATTTGTTTCCAGGTATCTTTTAATATCTGTTTTGATTTCATCATTGACCCAGGAGTTGTTTAGCATCATGCTGTTTAGTGTCCATGTCTTTGTGTGTTTTGGGGGAACCTTGTTGGTATTGATGTTTATTTTTATTCCACTGTGGTCCAAGAACATGCATGGCAAGATTTTGATCTTTTGAAATTTAGTTATGCTTGATTTATGGTCAAGTATGTGGTCGATCTTAGAGTACATTCCATGCAGTGATGAGTAAAATGTATAGTCTGTGGTTGTTGGGTGGAGTGTTCTGTAGGTATCAATTAAGTCTATTTGTTCAAGAGTCACATTGAAGTTCCAGATCTCGTTGCTGATTTTTTGTCCTGATGATCTGTCTAGGGTTGTGAATGGGGTATTAAAGTCCCCAACTATGACAGTGTTAGAGTCAATATCTTTTTTGAGTTTACCTAGAAACTGCTTTATGAAGGTTGGTGCTCCTATGTTGGGTGCATATATGTCTAGGATGTATATTTCTCATTGATGGATTGAACCTTTTATCATTATGTAGTGGTCTTATGTATCTTTTAAAATTTTTGATAGCTTAAAGGGTATTTTATCTGAGATTAAGATTGTGACTCCTCCTTTCTTTTGTGTTACGTTCACCTGAAATTTTGCTTCCCATCCTCTTACTTTGAGCCTGTGAATGTCCTTTCTGGTGAGATGAGTCTCTTGGAGGCAATATATTGGTGTCTGGTGATATTTTATCCATTTTCCATTCTATGTTTTTTCAGTGGTGCATTTAGTCCATTTACATTCAGGTAAATATTGAAATATAAGAGTTGATCCCTATCTTAAGGTTTTTATAGTGTTGTTGTTGTTCCTGTTTGTTTGTTGTCTTCTTTTGGTTTGGGGGTTGGTTCATGTGTGTTTTTAATCTTTTTCCTGTACTCTTGTAAAGAACGTTGTTGTTCCTTTTTCCTTTTCTTCTGTGTTTAATACTTTCTTAAGTGTTTCTTTTAGAGGTAGTCTGGTGGCAGCGTAAGTTCTTAGGGATTGGATATCTGGGAAAGATTTTAATTCTCCCTCACTGATGAAGATTAGCTTGGCTGGGTAGGTTATTCTTGGTTGAAATTTTTTATCTTTTAGAACTATGAAGATAGGGCTCCAAGCTATTCTAGCCTGAAGGGTTTCTGTAGATAAATCTGCTGCTATTCTAATTGGTCTTCCATGGTAGGTAATCTGACGTTTTTCTCCTGCTGCCTTTAGGATTTTTTCTTTTATACGTACTTTGTTTAGGCGAATTATTATGTGTCTGGGAGTTGGTCTTCTCATTTGTTGTCTTGCAGGGGTTCTCTGAATCTCTTGTGTTTGAATTTTCACATCACTGATGAAATGAGAGAAGTTTTCTTGAATAATTCCATGGAAGGTTTGTTCCGGGGTGGTCTCTGTCTCTCTTTCTGCCTCAGGAAGTCCAATTACTCTTAGGTTCAGTCTCTTGAAGTAATTGTTCATCTCTTGAAGGTTTTGTTCTATCTTTTTAAGCTTCTTTTCTATGTTTTTAACAGTTTGGGTTAGTTCTATGTTTTGGTCCTCAAGCTCTGAGACTCTTTCTTCTGCTTGGCTAATTCTGCTTTCCATGCTTATCTGTTTGTTATTTATTTCATTCACAGTATTCTTTACCACTGTTATCTCAGTTATCAACTCCTTCCTAGTTTCTGCTTGTCTCTCCACGGTTGTTTTTTTTTTTTGAGTT